TCCCAAGTGTTAGTTCAGTCAGTGCCGAGGGAAGGAGACATGTCAAGCAGGGTCTCTGGCCAGCGAAGGGCTCTGGCCAAAGATGAGAGCTCCAGCTAAGCAGACTGGGCCCTCAGCCTTTAAGGGAGTCAGAGCAGACTAGGACATGAAGCCCGGAAGATATGCACTGGGGATAAGGCAGAAGCTCAAGCCCCAAGACTTGAGTGAATAGAGGATTTGGGAAGAGACAGGGGAACCATATGTAAGTTTCTACTATATTGAGTGTGCAATAGCACCCAGGCTCCCTTATGTCACTCCAGTTATGGGGTCTGTTTCCTGCAGGACATGTTCCAAGTGCCACCAGACACACAGGGTAAAGATGTCGGTGTTCTCTTTCTCCCATCACACCACTGGCTCAACAATGGGGCTGGGGCTGACCTTGTAAGAGAGGTTTATCCACATGCCTGGATCCTGGAGAAGACAAGGGTGGGAAGCTGAGGAGGGGCTGATTTCAGGGAGGTTGCTGGGTTCTGTCTACTGTGGTTCCGCCTCTCCTCACCCTCCCAACCAACCAGACCAGCCTCCAGGGGAAGGATGGGTTGTCCTAGGCCTTCTCTGATTTCTCCCCTCCCACCATCTCAAGCACTGGCCACAACAATCCCACAAGGTAGGTAAGTTAGGTATTCTGACCATTTGCCGATAAAGGAACAGAATCTCAGGGAGGTTGGTGAACTGTACATAACCAGCCTAGGTTTTGGCTCCACCTTTTGCTTCTCTAAACTCCAGTTCTCTCATTAGGCAAATGGAACAATCAAACCAGCCTCACAGGTTCCTGTGAGGATTATTGAGATAATATATGTAAAATCACTCTGCAAGCTGCTATTGAAGCTCTAGTAATTTTTACTATCATAATTAGGACTAGTTCAAAGATCTTTTGTCTCTGAACCCAATACTCTTTTTTTCAAAATTGCTTATTCATCCATCCATTCATTCAGTAACAATCTTTGAATGTGTGTGAGGAGTCAAGTGCTCTGCTAGATACTGGAAACAGGAAGCTAAAATAGACAACCGAGAGGAAGAGACCATAGGTTGGCGGCGAGTCAGGTCCTCAGAAGGTGCGTGGCAGGCGGCGTGTTTGTCAGCAAAATAGGTGTGTGAGCAGCATGGCATGGGAGCAGAGGGCGGCAAGTGTCTGTGCTATGGTAGGGGTGGCATCACGGAGGCTCGGTGGCCTCATAACATGCTCCCTGCCCTGGTTCTCCTGATCACATGCACACTCTTCCATGGGATAGGCTCTGCTCTGGGAAACAGTGAGTCACTAATGGGGAGACCACTAGACCCGGTGGGGTCTGCTGACTCCCATGGACACACTGGAGGCCCAAATGAGATCAGGCCGGTCTGATTTGTTAAAAAAAAACCAAACAAACAAGCAAAAAAGCAAACTGTCAAACAAATGACCATAAATCAGAATGACTAAATTTATGTAATAGCCACTCAAGCCAAAAAGAAAAAAAAAAATCCCACTGAAAACAACCAAAAAAAGAAACCTGGATCTAATTTGCAAACTTGAAGTTACAGGGGGAAAAAAATCTCCTAATTTAGAGTTCGTTGCTTCCTGTTGTGCATTTAGTTATGATTAATCATTCTAAAATTTATGAGCCAGGGTCCTGTCACAGCCAGTTGAACAAACTTTCCATCATCCTTATGGAATAAAAACGCAGGTCTGGAGAGTGACCTCAATACAACCTTCAGTTGACACAGTTTTTGTGATGTGGAATCCAGATTGGGAGTGGGGCTCTGCAGCCCATAGCTGCTCAGACCTTAATATCAGTATCTAGGGTCCCCTTGAAAAGGCTTGCCATGGAGCAGGGATGCCTGTAGCTGTGTATGCCCACACAATTCTTTGAGCCAACCCAGTGCCATACAGTGGCCAATAACCCCTAATTAATTGCCATAAACCATGCCACAAGAGGTAGTATTTAGTAGATCGGGAAATTAAATCTCATAGTTTAAGTAATTGTCGGTAGCGACTACAGAAAACAGGAAGAATACCCCTGGTGACTCGGCTAGGCAATTGTATCTTGGTCCATAGAAACAACATGGCCTCTTTTTTATTTAAATCAGACTTGAGGAATCGGTGCAAGCAAATTAGAGTCTAACTGGACATTGCAGGCACTGTTTCATTATTGATGTCAGCTATTCCCACCAGTCATACTCACAGAATATCTTACACATGCCCAATACATATTTGAAAAATCAAAGCATTTTGGTGCTGCAAAGGATCTTAGGGATTTTCAGATCCAACCTCCCTCCTTTTTTTTTTTTCCAATGAGGAAGCTGAGGTCCCAAAGGAGAGAAAGTATTTCATCAAGGATAGTTGTTAGCTAGAACAAGAGTATAAATTGTCTGCCTCCAGGACCCCAGCATAAAGTTGTGCAGGTTGGGCACTGCACAAAAGCAACTGGGTAAGGGGATGAATGGGGTCTGAAATCCAGTCCTCGCCTGGACTGAAGGGAGGTGCATCTTTTCCCTATCACAAAGGGACCATCTACTTGCCAAGCCAAGTGGGGGCCACGTCTGCTCTGAGAAAAGTTTGGTGATGTTAAGTGAACACAGGTCCTGACTGTTGAGAGCTTTATAGGGTTAACTGATTTCTTCTGCCTTTTTGTAAGCAGAAATAATGTGATTTTTGCTGTTCTGTAACCCACTGTACCTGTGTAAGTATCTAGCTCTCATCCATGTATCTATCTATCTATCTATCTATCTATCTATCTATCTATCTATCTATCTATCATCTATCTATCTATCTATCATCATCATCTGCTGGACCCATATTGATCAGGATATCGCAGCAAATGAATGAGGGCTAGTGCAGAGAACAGGGACAGCATCCCCTCACTGTGGGGCAGCCAAGGAATGTCCTACACATACCTACCTGTCAGGCTACATCACAAGTTCTTGTCCATTTCTGCTTCTTGCAGTCCTACTGGAGTCCAGTCCATGGAATTGTCATGTTGAACCCTGTCTTAGGCACCCAGGGTGGAGGCAGTGGGGCACCAGAGGCAGGAGAAGACATCTTCCTGGGCTTCAGGGAGGTCATGAGCTAATGCCTCACTCTTTCCTTCAGGAATGATCTTTGAATGTTTGTGCCCATAGACATGTGCAGTCGTTAGGGAAGAGCCTTCAAGAAACATGCACAGAGAAAAGAAAGGGAGGTCATTAAAACACTTTAGAAATGTTTACAAAAATAAGACAAACCAGGCTTTACATGCAAATGATTAAGCAGGTGGATCAGGCATATTTGTCAGTTCTTTTTCAGAATAAGGAATATAAATTAGGCACTCTATTTGCATTTTCAAAAATTCTTTACTTTGTCCCCTTGTGAATTCTCTTGGTGCATGCTGGGCCTTGCTCTGGGTTGAGTTCCTGCCCTTGGGTCTCAGAGCCCCCAGACGACCAGAGCTTTCACAGCTACTCCCCTCATCCCCTTCAAACCTTGTGGAGAAGACCGGCCCTACTGCTGTTACTTCTTAGGGGTGGGGCTCATGTGCAGTAACCAGGAGTGCCAAGGAGCTGGGACCTCAGGCCAGAGTGATCTGGGCCAATGTACTTCTGCAGTCTCTGACTCCTTATAGAGGAGGTCTTATCTGATTAAGCCTTAATTAACTACCAGATAAGATTGGAGAGCAGAACATCATTAGAGGCTGCTAATGGGCACTACATCACCTGCGTGATCCATGGTGAAGGCAAGAAATAAAGCCGCTGGCCTGTGTGCTCTTTGCCACCTAGGAGCCTCTGAACCAAATTACTTTTCATGAAACTCAGATTCAGAACAGATTTTGGTTTTTTGGTTTTTTTTGTTTTTATGCCTGAGTATAGGCCATTGTTCAATTTTTTCAGCAAAGCTCAAGCATTGTGTGATTTTACAGAAGATGGTGCAGAAGGAGGGTTTCAGAGCATGAATATGTGTAACCTTTCAGAGGAAATGTTCACATGGAACCAGCCAACCAATACATCGCCCAGTGACATCTAAAAGAGCTTTTGCTCTGACCTTTACAACAACGAACACAAAAAGAGACTCCAAAATTAGGTGTATGTATATGTCAAATGATCAAAAACACAACTAAGAAATTTCTCCTGCTATAGAAGGATGGGAGGTCTTGAAAGTCACTCATGAGCAGAGGTCACTTAGAGCAGGAGCTTCTTTCTGGCCCTTTTCCCTTCACCTTTATGTGGGCTGGTCAATAGGGGAACATGTCAGGTGATGTCTACCTTCTGCAGAGCCCTGGCTATGAGCCTGCACCTCACATGCATTATTTCATTTCATCAGTACAACCACCTGCTAAGTAGATGTCACATTCCAGGGTTGTTCTCAGGGGAATTGAGTTTGGTTTGATGGAGTAACCTGTGGAAAGCCATATAGCTGGTAATGAGAAGATCCGGCACTTAAACCCAGGTTTCTCTGACTGCAAAGCCCATGCTCTTGTCAAAACACCAAGTTCCCTCCCTCATGACCCCCCTGAGGGACGAGCCCTGGCTGTGAACAGATGCAAGAGCAATAGAGGAGTCAAGTCACTCCTGCCTTCTTTGAGATTGACTCATCATGGAAGCCTAAAATGGTAGGGACCATGAAAAGAGTGTTGGAGTCATGGCATATGAGACCTGGGCTCTATTTCCACAGCCACCATTTAACCCCTCTAAGCTTTAGTTTCCTTATTTGTAAATAATAATAATAATAAAGTGTTTTTTTCATAGAGTTGCTGGGGGGATTACATGATATGGCACATGTTGTAGGCTTAGCACAGTCCAGCACATAGTAACTGCTCAATACATTTTAGGGGAAACATACAAGTAGCTTTCAATTCTCTTAGTATAAACTAGCATGGTAATGGGTGAGATATGTCCCATCTTAAAAGTAGAATCAGAATAGGGCTAAAGCCTGTAGCTCTGGCCCTGATGTGGGCGCTCAGGTTCCCAGCTAGGATCCCAGCAACTGTGGTCTTGGGGTTCTTATCTTCCAGTCATCACCATATTTAAGGGTAAAGTAGAAGAGGTGGAGCTGCCTGTGGAGAAGGTAGACATCATCATCAGCGAGTGGATGGGCTACTGTCTCTTCTATGAGTCAATGCTCAACACGGTCATCTTTGCCAGGGACAAATGGCTGGTAAGTGTTCTGCATGCTGCCTCCTCGTTGGTCTGCTGGCTGTCCTCCTGCTCTGCCCCTGGCCAACAGCCTAGGAAGAGTGTGAGGACTTGGGCTAGGAGATCACCTCTTCCAGGCCTCCGTCTTTAAACTAGATCTGCTTCAGGGGACACAATGATCGTCCCTGGGTCCAATGTGTCTGTCACAACCTTCTTCTGTAGATCTAACTTTGGATTTTTTTCACCATAATTGACACCCATTTTGTGTTGCCAAGATAAACATCTTTTCTGGTCAACAAGTACTTAGGATTGCATGGCTACCAGAGAGCCGAGCGTGCTTCTGACCTTGGCTTCTTCAGGCTGAGAGGTCATACCATCTTCCACTGTTTCTCAATGGACTTACCTTTCCCCCACTCCATTTGCTCTGTTGATTCCACCTGGGCCCCTCAAATTCTCCTTACTTCAAAATAAAAAGTGAGCTTTGCCACATGAGCCCTCGCCCTGGCCACGGTGACAATCTGCTGAATGAGAAATGCTGGCAAGGGGATGCTTGTCTGGTGACTCTATGTGCCGTTCAAAATGTGATGTCTTTGTCAGGTGAATAGATTACAAGACCCATTTCCCCACAATTCATCAACAGAAACCTGGAGGGCTTATGTTTCCAGACCGGGCAGCTTTGTACGTGGTAGCAATTGAAGACAGACAGTACAAGGACTTCAAAATCCACTGTAAGTCACCTTTTCATTCTCTGTTTGTTTTGTTTGTTTGTTTGTTTGTTTTTGTTTTTCACATTTATGGTGGAAGGCACTCCAATGGGCCTGAGATGAGCAGCCAGTCTCATGAACACACTGCTATGTCTGTGGCGTTCACCTCTCACCCTTTCTGGATTCTTCTCTCTGTACATGTTTTTCTCTAGTCCCAAGGGTAGGAGGTCTACAGAGAGAAAATAAGCAATATGGTGGTATAAGATAAATATCCTGGGGTGAGAGAATGAGTGCAATGTGAATGAAAAAAGAGTTGAAGCAGTAGATGGTGAACTTTTGCGAGGAGCAGCAGGCCAGGTGGCTGGAAGTCAGCAGGTTCAGTTATCCCAAAATTCTACCACAGGGGTCAGAAATGGCAGGTCTCTAACCAGGCCAATCATTCTGACTCTTGCCTTTATACCACTCAGATTTATCAAAACGATATCGATTCTTCTTTACGTTAAGTAAAATAGGTATTCTTCTCTGAGGTTCTTTAGGAGAATGAATGGCGGGGGGAGGGGTGGGGGTGGGGAGAGATGGAGACTTTGAGTGTGCTCTCATATCCAAATTTATATTCATAATGCTTTATCAGCTGAAAATTTGTTCTCTTTGATAAAAAAAACCAACAACCCCATCACCTCTTCATTGTTTTCTCTGGTCCAAAAATGGTTGTTTTGTTCTATTTCATTTAAAAGGTAACATTTATTTAAAAGGTAACATCTCAGTGACACAGGCCTGGTCCTCCACGAGATTATACGAAACCTTTCTAACCTCTTGTAAGGTTAGAAATGGCCACATCTCCCAACCAGCACTAATAGTACATGACAAAGGAGCAAAGAACCCCTCACACACATAACACGCACACAATCCAACCCAAGGCACTAGGCAGAAACTCCAAAAGTCCATCGGACTCAGCAGATCTGGCATTTGTGCTCCTCCAGTGGTCACACCTTCTTTGGCAAGATGACTGTAGAGGGGTCACAAACTGAGCAGATGAGTAAATGCCTCCTGCCCTGAGAGGCTGAGACTCAACAGTTCAGCAAATTGATTCACACAATTGCCGTCTAATAGTTATTTATGCTTCTGATGAGACCTCAGCTAGACTGTGCTATGACATGTATGTTTGTGTGTGTTCTCACTCTTCTGGAAATATACCATCAAAGCATGAAGTTCAGGGCCAGGTTCAGAAGAAGACAGAAATGGGATAGTTATTTGAGGCTCTGTGCCCTCTTTCTCGGGCCAATCTGGTGTCATTTCTAACACTGGATGAGGATTAAGATGGAAGTTAGCCTAGGTTAGATGATCATGCTTTGAAGTCTGTCAGCCCTGGGTTCAAATCCTACCTGGATCACTACAAGCAAATTACCTAACATCTTTGAGACTCAGAGATAATGTCACCAATGCCATAGACCTGCTGTGAGGATTAAGTGAGATCATATATATTGAGGGACGTGACAGTTCCTGGTGCTACACGGCACCAGCATGGTCTAGTCTCAGAATACGTCACTAAACCCCATTGTGGTCATGGCTCTGGCAAGCGAGCCTGACTGCCAAGGTCGTTGGCCTCCAGTGGTTCAGAGTCCAGTACAGATGTGCTCTCACGGCAGATTGCAGAAATAGCTCAACAGTGAACACTGATCAAATAGAACACATTTTGCCCTAAAACTGAATTGTAATGCTGCTTTTGAAGTTCTTGGCGTGGAACTGTACTGAATAGTGTTTTGTTTTGTTTGATATATTTTTTTTATCGAATAGTGTTTTGAGCAGAACCTTCAGGCTCATTCCTCATTCTCATGTGCACTTAAATAGTATTTATTGAGCTCCCACCCTGGGCATTGCTAATTAAGGAACGTTCTCATGGTTTAAAAGCAAACACACCTTACCTTCCTCCCTTCCCTGGATTGCGTTCAGAACCTCTGGCACATGCACCTCGTCATGAGCCAGCTGGGCCAGAAGGGGACTGGGTGGGTCTGAGAGGTGCGAGGGGTGGTCCTGCCACTCAGGTGCTAGCCCAGGACTGCAGAGCATGTGATTTAGTCTCGCACTGTCCGGTGCAATTTTCATAGCTTCTGGGAAAGAAAAAAAAATTGAAAATCAGCCCCATTTTTCTTGTGGAATGCTTGCTCTGGGGTATCTGTCAAAAAAAAAAAAAGAAAAAGAAAAATGAACCAAACAAAAACACTCATCCCTCCAAGGGGTCCTGCCTCTTGAACAAAAATGAAACACACATTTAACATTTATTTCAAATGCTGTTAAGTTTTCTGTTTAACTGTTTTTTAAATGATCTGTTTTTGGTTTTAGTAAAGGATGGAAGCCCATTTAGAAATCTGCTTCAAATAAATGAAGATTTTGGTTCTCTGAGTTCTCAATCAAAGTGAAACATAAAGGTTGCTGGTTTCTAAGGAAACAATTGTAAGCAAATTTCAGTTGGCTCAAGAACCAGCTAAAAAAGAAAAATCTTAAAGTGGGGCAGCAGAGTGAGACATGCCCAGTCCTTTTCAGAAAACAAGTTGTTAGGGAAACAGCTTTCTATCTTCTCTTCTCCCCCCATCTTTCCTCTCTTCTCTTCTCCTCTCCTCCCCTCCCCATCCTTCTCCTTCTTTCCTCTCTCTTCCCCTCCCTTCCTCTCCTTTCCTTTCCTTTCTCTTCTCAACCACGTACAACATAGGAACACAAGAATGAGTGAAACACAGAACCTGCCCTCCGTTTGCTCCCCAACGACTAGAGAACATAGAAAGCGAGATAAATGACCGGCATGTACTAAGCTCACAATACATATTTTGCTGAGTGAATGAGTGAGTAAACGAATGGATAAAAGTAAACCAGCAGAGGAATATGCAAGGTGTAGTGTTTAACACTGAGAGTGGAGAGATCAGTTTTTAAAATTTCTACTATGGAGGAGATTTATCTCAAAATTGGAAAGAAACTTGGTGAGTATTCTGTTTGATTTCTTACCCCATGCATGAATCTACAAACTGCTGAGTCAGAGGGATGGACATGAGCTTCCTGGCTTCCGGGAAGATGAAAAGGAAGGCCTCCTGTCGGGCCAGTGGTGCCTGTAGCCGGAGGGTTGAAAGGCAGGACCTCTTGGAGGGCTCAGTTGCTGTCCATGGGTTTCTCCTCCACCTCCATCCCAGAGCTCTAGTCTCTGGCTCAGACCTATTTTATACAAGGAGTTGACTTTGTTCCTGAGAGCCTAAACGGTATAAATCTATTGTAAACCCCTCTCCTTCTGTCTAGAGGAGCAACTGTAGGTGGCACTTGCTCTGTTCCTCTCTGACCCAGTCCTACTGGCCCTAGCAGAGAAACTGAAATTGCTACAACCAGGGTGGGAAGGGAGGGTGTAGCCACAGCTCTCACCACTGAAATGTATAATTTGTCCTCCATTATTTCATATTTCTTTTTCTCCCGCTGCTTGGAGATTTTCTCTTTATTTTGATATTTATTAGTTTGACTCTGGTGTGTTTAGGTGTGTTTTTCTTTGTTTCTATCCTACTCAGGGTTCTATGGGATTCTTGGGTTTATGGGCTGATAATTTCATTGGTTTAGGAAATTTTTCAGCCACTATCTCTAGAAATATATATTTTTTCTGCCTGATTTTCTTTCTCTTCTCCAGGGACTCCAATTATACATATGTTAGTTGTTGTTTGATATTGTCTCATTGATTTTGGATGCTTTGCTTATTTTCCTCTTTATGTTTAAGTTTGGATAATTTTTATTGACCTGTTTTCAAGTTTCATTATTTCCTCTGATGGGTGTATCCATTCTGCTAATACGCTCATTGAAAGATCTCTTTATCTCTGATATTGTGACTTTCATTTCTAGCATTTCCATTGGCTCTTTTTGGTAGTTTTCATGTCACCAGTGAAATTTGCATCTTTCATGATGTTGTTTCATTAGATTCTTTAACATATTTAGTATGTACTTTGAAGTATCTGTTGGATAATTCCAACATCTGAGATGTCCCTGAGTCTGATTCTATTGACTATATTTTCTTTTGATGATGGGTCATAATTTTTTTTTCACGTGTCTTGCAATTTTTTCCTAATGCTGAAAATTGTCAGTAAAAGAATAGTAGAGATAGATGAACAATATTTGTGCCCAGAAAAGAACATGTCTTTTCCTCTGCCAGGCTATTAAAGTGGGGATTTGAAGTCTATTAAAGTCTGGGCTTCATTTTTGCTTTAGTTGCATTCATTGAACCATAGTGCAATTCTTTTAAAGAGTTTGTTTTAATCCATAAACAAAAGTTCACAGATCCTTCTGATGTTATTTTTTAAATCACCAGAAAATTAATAACAATATTTCCTGGAAGCCAATAGCCCTTACTCCACACTCTCTTATTCAATAGACAAAGCAGAAGAACTGCAACAAAAAATTAATTTGCTTGCTTTGTGTTGTCTCCCATCCCTGCTCTACTTATGTTAAAGGAGCTAATGGGAAAAGAACGGTCAGCAGAAAGGAGAGGAAAAAAATCTAATATCCTAGATGAGCTGTCTTCCAAATAACTGAAGGTAGGGTAGTCTAGCTGGAGATATAGGGTATGAACTAACCCCTGGAAAGGTAACTAAACAATCTGGCACTGTGAAGCTGTATAGACTTTAAATATTAGGGAATGAATTTCAATTAAAAAAGCATTACGTGTGGGGCTGTACTGTGCCAGATGCTGTGCTATGGGTGCTGAGGATGTAGGAGGGTCCTGTGGGTGGGAGTGGTTGGAAAGGGTCCTACAAAGGCCATGAGATTTTAAGCTCACCATCTGAGAACCGGAAGGGACTTTAAAGGTAATCTAACACAGAAGTTTCCACACTCTGGTTCGAATTGCCTGTAGAAATTTGTAAAATTCCAGCCTCTTGGGTCCCAAGTCTGGATATCCTGATTCAGTAGCTCTGGTTTAGGCCAGGCCATCTGTGTTTTTAAAAGTGTCCCAGATGATTCTGGAACACAGAACTACTAACCCAAACTCCTGACTTTACAAACAAGCCCAGAGAAGGGGGTTGATCTGCCCATGGTCGCACAGCGTGAATGGTGGCAAAGCCAAAGCTTAAACCACATAATAATAACAAGCACTACGTACCCACTGCTTTCTATGTGCCAGGCACTGTCTTATGCACTTTACAGATATTATCACATTTAATTCTCATAACAACAACATAGAGTATCTGTAATTATCATCATCTCCATTTTAAAGAAGAAGAAAACAACTCTTCGAGAGGTTGAATTCTTGTGAAGGTTACACAGCAAATGGCAGAGCCCAGGTGTGAACCCCGAAGTCCAGCCCTGTGACTGTTACGCACGGGCTGCCTCAGGCATTTGTTTGCCCAACACTTGCACTGACGCTTAGCGGAAGAGCAGAAGCATGGCTGCAGGCCCCTTCAGGAAGCATTTTAAACGAAGGCGGTGTGTCTTCGTGTGTGCGTTTTATTGGGGGAAAGGATGGCTAGCTATTTCCAGACTCTAGAAGGGGGTCTTCTCTGAAGCATGTCCTGTTGCCAACCCTGCAGCTTTCTTCTCCAAATGTAGGTTTCAACTGGGAATTTGGCATCAGCCTCGGGTGATTAAATGGGATATGACTGGCATCTTATCCTCAAGCAAGAATTCTACAAGTGCTCACCCTCTGGGAGATGATTATTTTCCCTGCCTCTTGTCCCTGAGGAAGGTCTTTGTGTGCCTTAGAAAAGAGTGTGAGTCAAAGGAACACAGTTTTCTTGCCTCCTCACAATCCCCCTCCCCCGAACATGCAGGGACATGGTTCCCTAAGGTACCATTTGTTTGATGAACATTTTAAAAGAAAATTTAATCCCGTAAGATTTTAGAGAAAAGCATCTCTACTTCAATGCATTTCTAAGCCCGTCTGAGGAAACAGATAAATGAGATTCAGCTGCCTAGTAACTAAAGCCTCTGCTTAGACCACCCCCTTCATTGTGCGGAGAGGAAATTATATTCGTGGTTGCTGCCACACTGAGCCAGTGCAGCTGAAGGGTTAGGGGACAAACTGGGTTTGAGCACTAGCTCCTCTGTTTCCCTGACATGTGACATTGGGCCAGATACTGTGTGTGAGCCAGATGCCAACGTCTTCCAGCCGCAGTTTTCTCATTTGTCACATAGGGTTACTCATGGGGTTGCTGGATAGCTGAAATGTAGAGTCTGGCCTGATCTAGGTGCTCAATGATACCAATGATTAGCATCATTTAAGGGTGGTCTTGGGCCATCAGGCTTGCATTCATTTACTTAACAATCCTGCACCCTAAATCTTTCTCCCACTCAGAGCATCTTATGAGCAGCCCCAAGGGGCCAATCAGCACCGTTGAAATGGTTTGTGCCCCACCTGAGTGATATTTCTTATGGGATGGCTCCAGTGAGTGCATCATGGCATGTATGGAAGGTAAAGATGCTTATGGGCATCCCCCTCATTTTGCAGTTGAGAAAATTGAGGTTCAGAGAGATTAGGGAATTTGTACAAGAGCCTGGCCAGTAAGAGGTGGTGCTGGAATTCAGACTGTAGCCTATTTCACTTTAAAAGCCCATGTTTCTCTCTGCTGCATTAAAGGTTCAGTGGACGGGTCTGGGAGAAGGGGGAGAGATGGCCTTCTGGGTCTGCAGAATGGCTTGAGCAAAGGCATTGACATAGAAATGTGGATGGTAGATGAGAGAGTTCATAGGAGACTCTGCTAGCTCAGAGAGAGACAGGGAAAAAGGTACAAAAAGTCAGGTAATTTGGGTTCTAGTCTTGGCCCTGTGGCATTCCAGCTGTGTGAACTTAGAGACGTTTCTCAGCCTCTCTGAGCTTTTGTTTTCCTAACCATAAAGAGGGACCTGTACAAATGAGATAGTGTGAATGAGCAGTTGGCACATTGCAAAGCTCTCCACCCAGATGAGCAATTCTCTTATTCTGAGAACTGCCCCTCACCCTTTTGGGCCTGCTGTGCCCTAGTACTAAAGAGGGTCAGGAGACTTCTGCCGGTCCTGCGGCTGGCCCTCATATCTCACTCTGTTCCCTCAGGGTGGGAGAATGTCTACGGCTTTGACATGAGCTGCATCCGGGACGTTGCCATGAAGGAGCCCCTGGTGGACATCGTGGACCCAAAGCAAGTGGTGACCAATGCCTGTTTAATAAAGGTCTGCAGACTCATTCTGCTTGGGTCTGGGCATGCCGGGAATCCAGCTGTACCACCCTGGAAAGCTGTGGGCTTGGAGTAAATGCATGGCCAGTTCCTGCACAGCCTTAGCCCGTGAGGCACAGCCGCCTTGTCCAGAGCCTCTGGCGTCCCAAGGTGGCCTTCAGAAGCGGGCGCTGTCACTGAGAGCCATGGAGAGAGCTGCTAGACTCCACGGTGGCACAGCTGAGGGGAGGGAGTCAGGCACGGTCCTTAGTGGTGCTGCGGTGGGGGCAGTGTGGGGGAGTGGGGCATCAGAGGAGAGAACGCCCTGGAGCGGGAAGGTCGGCTACGGTTTGGAGAAGCTACTCCATTCAGAGGTGAATGACTCTTATGAAAGAAGTCCAATACCCCAGTCTTCTGCGTAATTGTCACTACTCTCCTACGTCTTGGCTCACAGGGCACTGGCCAGACAGAGATACACCCCCTTCCCTAGTATTCTTGTTCATACAGGCTCTCACTTCTTTTCTTCCAAGGCTTGCTTCAGTGCAGATGCAGAACACCTGGTCAGCATCCTCTGCACACCAAGCCTTAGTGCATCCTTGTTCTTAAATATTCAAATAAGCCAAATTTGATAGAATAAAATTCCAAGCCCCCCCTTGACCTCCCTTCCCTTTCAACTGCACGCTCCTCTCATATTGGATCCATCTTTGCAGGCCTTTTTCTAAGTCTTTGCATTTATATATGTTAATATATTACATCAAACCATATAAACTACTGATCTGAGATTGTTTTTAAAAATCTAGAAAGATATCAGTATCATATGGTTCAAGCTGATTTTTTTAAAATGTAAAAACCTAGGTTCGTTATGTAAGTATTCATCAGACCACCTAGTCCTCATCTTGCTTAAACATACTTGCCTGTTTGGGTCTTACACATACCGCTTTTTTTCTGGAAGGGTTTGGGTGGAGGATGGGAGCTCTGTGCTGCAGCCCTGCCCCTCCCCGTCCCTGGACCCTGTGAGAAGGCTGAGGATGGCCTGTGCTTGCTTCTGCATCCAGGAGGCCCTCCATCAGCTCTCCCCCTAATGCACTAAGCACTATCTCCGGGAGCCTGTTGGGAAAACACTTGCCCTTCTTCACACACTTAATTGCTGTTTTCATGCTATTAACGTTGCCGAGTATGACACTTTATTATAATTAAGACTGTGTTTTGACCAGACTTCTGCTCTAAGACATCCATTTGTAACATTATTTAGTTGTGGGGAGAGCAGCAGCCTGGCGTTCTTCTGAGTAACTGATGCCTGTGGAGCCCTCCACTTCATGGGGGTCGCCTGAGGCAGAGTCAGGGGGCCTCTCAGGGGTCTCCAAGATGCTGTTGCTGCTGCCAAAAGTAAGAAACCTTCCAGCAAAGGGGCCTTGGCTCTGGGGGGCCTGGATAACTGGGTTTGACGCTGTAGACTTCGGGTCTGAGAGGAGGGTATCTCCAGGCCCAGCCACAGCTGATCCCATCCTCATAGATGGCCCAGCCCCCACTCCAAAAGACCAACTGCCTTCATTGTCGCCATTTTAATGTACAGTTTCATCACTTCTGTCTTGAAGGCTTCTGTTCCTTCAGCGCCCTTCCTCCTCCCCCCACCATTAAAATAAAAATGTCTGTAGGACCTAGTGAACACTGTCAACAAACAGTCAAAAGCTGACATTTGGTTGATGGACATCTGAGAGCAAGACCCTACAGATATAGAATTCCTGATAGATGGGTAGGCAGTGTGTGTGTGTGTGTGTGTGTGTGTGTGTGCGCGCGCGCGCGCGCACGCACGCACGCGCATGTACACTGAAACGGTGAATGAAGTGAGGGCAGTGACAGAAGGAGAAAGGAGCCAGGTCTAGCTGTGTCACAGAGCTTACTTTCTAGGTCCCCCTGTCTGTGTTCAGGCCAAGAGGTTTGAATGTTTTTTGGTAAGCCATACAGAATCATGGCAGGTTTGGGATCCAGGGGGCAGCACAGTGTAAATGATCCAGGGCTCCAGTCTAATGGCGGGGGCAAGGGTGGAGGTGGTGAGCCTGCTGAGATGAGCCAGTGGTTGGGTGGAAAGAGCAGGCTAGGCTTGGGGCAGAGGGGACCAAGAGAGAAAGATACTGCAGACCTTGGGAAGAGCCTGGAGCTTGGCTAGCTCGCCTGGACTAGGAAGGAGGTAGAAAAGCCAGTGAGTGTAGACCCTGTGAGTCTGGTGGATGGTGTTGATGCCATTAATAAAAATACAGACAACCACAGCTTGCTCTAAGAGCTATTGAGCTGGAGGGAACCTGTGGGCAACAAGTGGGCAGAAGAGATAATAAACATCATGAAGGCAGACAGGTATTAGTCTAAGAAGATTTCCCAGGCTGGAGTAATGGCCCAAATTAACAGGATGACATGTAATGGAGGAGCCCTACACTTGGGTCCCAGGAAGAAAGGAAAAAGGATTATGAGAGATGCAGTGGAGGAGAGAGGCTGGAGGACCAACTGCAGTAGGAGCCAGCAGTGTGCTGCTCTTTGAGGTCAGAGGTTATGAGAAGCGTGTCCCAAACAGGGAGGGTGAAGGAGTCTGAAATGACTTAATGAGAAGCAAATGAAAAACCAGAGGCAGCACTCAGCTTACTCTATGGGTGGAAGTTACAGAGACTGTGGGCTCTCATTCGTCATGTAGAGGTGCTTACCAATGGGAGGGGTCAGGAAATGGAATCAGCTGCCAGGTAGGCAGTGAATGCGTCATCCCTAAGGCAGTCAAGCAAGCACCTGATGGCCATTTTCTGGAAATGCTACAAAGGGGGCTCTTGCATTGGCTAAAGCGGGACAGGCTTCCTAATCCCATCAAATTCTGCACACCTGACCCAGGGCTCACCATTCCATTAGTTTTTGTTCCTCACCCTTGGGCTCTAGAAGCACAGCCTAAGTTGCATTTAAAGTGATCTTACCGAGGTGCTACCACATTCCCCTCAATCTGCAGTCCCACTCCTTCCCAACCAACAGGTCAGAGCTTCAGCTCTCCCCAAGGATGGCAAGGCTTCTCACCCCACCACAGGGGCTCTGACCTGCTGGCTGCCTTGACCACACCTCCTCCTCCTCTTCCCGTGGACTTAGGACTTCTCTGAAGGCCCTGGGGCACTTTGCCTCTGCTTTCCCCTTATTTATCCTAAAATACGTAGTGATAAGCTCATTTCTGCTACGCCACTTTGTCTCTTTCCTGCTTTTGTTTCCCCACCCTCAGGCCCCTTTCCTAATTATTCCCAACTTGTTCCATCATCCGGTCTCAGGAGAAGCCCTGGGAACCATTTCAGGCACACAGGTGTCTGGCTCTTACATCGTCTTCAGGACAGGGTCTTTGCTACACCCCCCCAACAGTGGGAAGTCTTTCCTGAGACCTCACTGAAAGCTGCCTGGATGCCTGTTGGGCTCTTGGGAGGTTGGCCTTGTCTCACCGGAGCCAGCAAACAGCAGGTCAGCATCCTTCACATAGAAAAGAACAGCACATTGCAAACTACCTTTCATTACACTTGCTCCCCATGCAAGATTGATTTCCAGCCACTTCCCGACTGAAATGGTGAGAATTATTAGTTCTTCATGTTCTCCATTCTCCAGCCAGAACTGAAAAAACTCTCACCTCTTATTTCCCCTTTTCTTTCTTTCTTTTTTTTTTTTAAAAAAAAGCTATCCAGGCTTGTTATAAATGGCCACCAGAAGTTCCCTCAGCTCGGGCTGTGACTGTGAGTGGGCTGATGTCCTCACTCCTGAGATAATACTTGATGCTCCTATTGCCAGGCACTTAAATATCGAAAAACGGAAATAAGTGGTCTGGTTCACCGGAATCGCTGGGAGGACTTGATAAGGCACAGATTGCTGCTTTGATTCAGGAGGGCTGAGACGCTCGCCACTCCCTACCCGCTCCGAATTTGCTGTCCTGAAGGCTGATTCTCATCACCTGGGGACCACACTGTGCGAACAGCCTGATGGACACAGCGATGCTGAGGGGGGCTGCTCTGAGGACATGCGGGTTGGGTTTGGGGATGCTCTAACTAATGCTTCTCTTCTGTGGCCTCCCCTCCCCACCTGCCCCCACCCCCAGCAGACTTACCTTTTAAATGCTGTTGCCCTCGGGTTCTGATCATTGCCTGAACACACTCCACCCTAGACAGGATGGAGGAGGTCCCTGGGAGGGCAGTGTTGTGGGCCTGGGGAGGGCAGGGTCTAGCATGGGTAGTTAGTTCCCCACGGACAGGCATGAAGCCCCCCTCGAGCACCCAGACCTGGTCGGGGGCTGAGTGTCCGCCATTCTGCCTCCTCTGTGCTGCAGGAGGTGGACATTTACACGGTGAAGACGGAGGAGCTGTCCTTCACGTCTGCCTTCTGCCTGCAGATACAGCGCAATGACTACATCCACGCCCTCGTCACCTATTTTAATATTGAATTTACCAAGTGCCACAAGAAAATGGGGTTCTCCACAGGTGAGCCTCTCGTTGGCATGCCAGACCTTCCCCTACCCCCATGCTGAGGCTTTGTGGGAAGTGACACAGCGCTGGCCTCGACTTGGGAACAGACCTGGCATTAGCCAGGGGCCCTTACTCGGCATCTCTTACGCCTTCTCCACTGCAGGATAATTGCACGTCTCCACACTTTTGGCTGCCCAAGGAGAAGGTAAATGAAACTGTGGCTGGCATGACCAGAGCTGAGAGAGTGTATTCCATGGCCAGATGCAGGGGTTCAGGCCCCTTTTCAAGTGCACATTTGCTCATTTAGCATTTCCTGAGCGTATTTTGTGTGAGGGGTAAGGAAACGGTGGAATTGGATTTCTCCCTCTCCACTGCCATGCCTTACTACAGGACTCAGTGTACCACTCAGTAGACAGCAAATGGCTTTCCTGTATTCTTTCTTCACTACTTCCACCCCAACCCATCCTCATTAAGTCCTTGACAGTGTTCCCCAAAGACCACCGTGCTCTCCCTACCAGCACTCCTTCAGAGGTGCCTCATTGCCTGGAGCAGATAAGCCCAAATGTCTTAGCGTGGTAAGGGGGGGTGGAGGGGCGGGGTTCTGTGACTTGGCCCTAGCCCTCTTCCCCAGCCTCATTGCTCATCATCCCTGTCCCCTGTCCTTTGCTTTGATGTCCATCTCTGTCCCATTACTGCTATAGCACACACAGCTCGTTCACCCTCAGTGTCTTTCAGGTCCCTGAACTCGGTGAGGCTTCTTAAGTCTGTGGGTGTCACTTCTGCACATGCCAAACCCTTGCCTGTCCCTATGTGCTATGGGGGCAAGAGGGTCTCTTATCAGAAGCTCCCGTCATTTCCTTTCCTCCTGTGTTAGTTTGCTAGGGCCATCACAACACAGTACCACAGGCTGGGTGGCTTAAACAGCAGAAATTCTTTTCTCACAGTTCTGAAGGCTAGAAGTCCAAGTTCAAGGTGTCAGCAGGGTTGGTTTCTCCTGAGGCCTCTTTGCCTGGCTTGCCGATGGCCGCCTTCTCCTGTGTCCTCACATGGGCTTTCCTCTTTGTGTGCATTTTCCTGGTATCTCTATGTGTGTCCTCTTTGTAAAAGAATACCAGCTGGATTGGATTGGGGCCCACTGTAAGGACCTCATTTTAACCTAAGACCTCTTTAAAGGCCCAGCTCCAAATACAGTCATATTCTGAGATACTGGAGGTTAGAGCTTCAGCACACGAATTTGGGAGAGACACAATGTAGCCCATAAGATCTCCCTCGTCCCCACCTCCTCACCTGGCCAACTCCAGCACAGGCCTCATCTCTCAGCTCAGGTATTACTTGATCCTCTCCTTCCCTCTTGGGTCAAGCTTAGGGTCCTTCTCGGGGCTCCCTAACATCCTGTGCTTACCTCTATCATGGCGATGTTTAAAGTGATGCATGTGCACAGTAGCAAAAATAAGACAAAGGGTATAAAAAAATCAAGGAAAACGTCCTCCCCCCATCCATCCCACTGTCACGCCTCAGAGGCATATGTTGTTAACAATTTCTTTTTTATCCTTCCAAAAAATTGCAAGGGTACACAAGCAGATACATATCAATGTATATGCCTTTTTTCTTTTTATTTGAAATAATTATAGACTCACAGGAAGTTGCAAAAATAGTACATTGAGTTCTGTGAACCCTATGCCCAGCTCCCGCCATTGGTGGCACCTTACAAAACTGGAGTACAATATCCAAACTCTCAACAGGTTAGTTCATACTATAAATGCTGCCTTCTGCTACCTTTTCTTTATTTGACAATATGCCTTGGAGATACTTCCATAGCCTCGCAGCGATATCTACTTTCAGTTTTTAAACAATTACACAAGATACCAATGTAAGATGTGCCATCATTTATTCAACATTTCCACCCATTTTTGCAACCCTTTGTCTCCCTGTGAGTCTGGACCACATGTCATTAATCTGTGTACTCCTGGCTTCTATGAGAATGCTTGGCCTGCGGCAGGTCCTAAACAAATCTCTGTTACGTAAGTGTGTGGAGATATGACCTCTGCCCTTGGGCATGTATTCAGGTTGACCACTCATGTGGCGCCCCCCTGGGAACAGGAAGCACATCCTTGAGGGTGAGTGTGCCTGTGGCAGGAATAGGTAGGTTCTACCAGAATTCAAGGATGTGATTATTCACTTCCTGAAGCCATGGTGACAATAATTCTCTCTTACGTATTGACAGAGGGGGCAAGAGACTTATCTAACCCCTGACAGAAGGGTTTTTTCCAGAACCAGTGTCTCCTCACCACCAATACCAGGGTTTTCTGGTCTCTATCAGCCATGCCAGTGCTGGTACCTCCCTGCCCTGGGGAGAGCCAGAGAGCCTAACCTGGGTCATTACAGCTACCGCCCTCCTTAGAGGGGCAGCCTGCGAGCTCATCTTGGTGGGCAGGAACAACCAGGAGAGGGCAGGGAGACTTTACCTGGACCCTGAAAGATGGGGAAAACTCAGCCTCGCAATGCTGAGAGGTGGGAGAGTGAGAGGACGGAGGAGGAGCCTGCTTGAGGATCAAGCTGTGACTGCAGGTCGGGGGTGGAGCCACAGTGGCTGGCTCTGTCCCTACCACACCCAGGATGGTGCCTCCCCAGGGCCTGCCCTGCTCAGGTGATGAGGATGTCAGTGGGCACGGGTGCTCTGGAAAAAGTTCTGGCTTTCAGAAGCCTGTGCTCCAGCCCCGTAGCTCTCAGCCGGGCTTTGCTTTTCCCTGAGGTGATCTATTTCCGGTCCTTGAGGTCAAGCAGGCGGCCTGGTGGACCCTGTTCAGAGATGGCTGTCTGGCTCAGTTGTGGCAGGGACATTCCTGATGCCCCTATGTGGAGGAGGCCTATTTAATTCAAGTTCAGAATCAAAGAAGTCAGCCCTGGGCTGCCTGGGAGATGGTGAGGATTTGCAGTATTAAGTCTCCAACCACTGGCTCCTTTCCTTCCGTCCTTGGGTCACCCCCCCCCACCCCATAGTGCCACACAAGCCTGTGAGAGGAATGATGATGGGCTTGCTTTATAAGCTCAAAGCCTTTTGTTCTAGATCAAGGTCTGAGCTGTCTTTTTGCAGTGATGGCATTATGTCCCCTCCCCTTTGCACAGAATCCCAGACACTTAGGTTCTGAAAGGACATTTGGAGTTCCTACAGCCCTCTTTTTCCTGGGCCATGGTGCAGAAGTTCTCAGAGTGTGGTCCATGGACCGGCAGCATCAACACCACCTGGGAACTTGTAGAAATGCAAATTCTTGGACCCACCCCAGACGGGCTGAGTCAGAAATTCTGAGGTGGGGCCCAGAAGTCTGTCTTAATAAGTCCCCCAGGTGATCGTGATGCACGGTCAAGGTTGAGGACTATGGCCCTTGTACAAGACCGCCTGAGCAAGATGGCCGAGAATGACACCAATGCTGATATCTTCTGGCAAGGCAATCACATCTCTTCACTCCCGTGTGCCTTCTGGCCTCACCGAGACTTTATGCCTACTGGGTGACATAGATCCCTCTTGCTGCAGCAGTTCCATATACATGGCGATCAGGGGAAATGAAACTGTTTAGCTGCTTTCTCAGCCGCCCTGATGTTTCAGCATTGGGTCTTGCTTCCAGCACGTAGCACATGGCCTTACCAGTTAGTATGGATTTGGCAGTGGGCTTTATGCAGACAGAGCCTCTACACTCTGACCACCAAGGAAAGAGAATTTCTCTTTTGTTTTTAAGGACCCCAGATGCACAGAATTAGATGAATCTTAGTTCTTGGTTCCTGACATACTATCATCATTTGGGTCATTCAAGGTTCACTTTTTGCTTATTTGTTTATTAATATAATAAGATTATTATTCTTATTGGAATGTAAATACATTAGTTAAAAAATAAATTATTAGAATATAAATATTAACCAGAAACATATTAATAATAATGATTATAATTAATAGATTTAAGTAAATTAATTCATAGTCACCTAATAAATCCCTGTGAGCTTACCACCTAGCTCAATGACTTATATACCTTTGCACCTACCTGTATGCACTGTTCCTATCCCATCCCCCCAACCCACATCCCCTCTAGATGAACATTATCCTGAATTTTATGTTCCTTATCCCTTTGCTAGTTTTGTGCCTAAACAATGTATTGTTTGGTCTCAGCTATTTTTGAACTTCATGCAAATTGTAGCCTGTTTATGTGGCCCCTCCCCATCAACCCCCAACCTTGTTTCCATCTCAGCCCAGCAGAAGCTGGCTCTGCAGGGCCCGCTCCAAAGCATACTGACCATTGTGCAGCTTGAAAATGATACCTGTTAATGGCCTGATGGCTCCTCTCTGCAGCTCCAGGCAGAAGCCGTAATTGGCACAGGGGCCTAGGGTTCCCGGCCATGTCAGCCAGCCGCCCAGCTGCCCCCATGCCTGGGGCACATCCTAGGTGGGTGGGAGAGGAAAAAGGAACCGGGGCCCTAGAGCTGCTATGTGCTAGGGAGAAGGGCAGTAGGCTGAGCATAAGCAGGCCTGGATTTGAGTCCTGATTTTCCAGGAATCAGCAAGGTAAGGTGATTGGATGCTGGCGACAACTGAGCGAGTTATTCTCTGGACCTTGGGCTTGTTTTATGTGAAATGACACCATTGGACCTTGACTGCTTGGCAGCCCTTTCCAGCCCTGCCATCCTGTGACACTGAGTCATTTTCTCAGGCCAAAGAAGCTTCTTGGTGCAGAGTCTTAAATTCTCCAAAAAGCTTGTTAACCCCCTAGGGAATATAATTATAAATTCACAGCTAGAAAAAGTATTACATTTTACTTAGCCATTGGGAAGTGAAAAAGGAAGCAGAATTCCATTCCCTTTCCAAGAGCACCAGGAAAAATCTTGTGAGAGGCCCCTGCTGTTTGTTTCCATAATCCTCTGTGATCTGCATCCCCTCCTTGGTCACAACCACACCAAACTTTGTCATTTGTCTTCTCACTTAGGTGGTAGGACCTGAGGCGGGCAAGGCTGTACTGTTGCTGTTTCCC